TTTTGTATGTCTATATATATATATATATATATATATATATACATTTAGAAATATTATAGTACTGTTCAAGTGTGCAAGTTTTTTAAATACTTCTATTCAGCAAGGATGTATTAAATCAATCAAAAGTGACAGTAAAGGTATTTATATAGTTACAAAAGATTTCTATTTCAAATAATTTTTTTAACTTTCTGTTCATCAAAGAATTCTGAAAAATGTCACGGTTTCCACAAAAATATTAAACACCGCAACTGTTTTTACATTGATTGTAATATGAAATGTTTCTTGAGCAGCAATTCAGCATGTTAGAATGATTTATGAAAAAAAAAAAATAATAATAATAATGCTGAAAATTTAGCTTTGCCATCACAGGAATAAATTACATTTTAAAATATATATGCATATATATAAAACAGTTAATTTATTGTTAATAATAATGTAATTGTATTTCATAATATTAATGTCTTACAGCATTTTTAATCAAATAAATGTACATTTGGCAAGCATAAACATTTATTCAACAACATTTACCATCCCCAAACTTTTGAACAGTAGTATGTTTATATTATTAACTTCTTAAAGTCTTGTCCACAAATCATAGCTTGAATAGAACTGGCGTTGGAACTTTAATTATCATGGAACTGAGACGTCTGCCAGGGCCTGTGATGTTCATGTAGGTTTGCCCCAATTACAGCAGCCACACTCCTAACAATGAAATGTGCCCATTAAAACATCCCCTGCAGTTCAGCCCTGGGCTCCGTAGCACAGCAAACTGCCTGCATGAATGCCTGGCTTTCACGCGGCCGTGAGACTGCTGGAGCCTCGAGCTGGGAAGGCCTGGAAGCAAGAGCTAATCCAGAGGCAGCCACTCTGTGCTTCAAATCTAAGCTAAAAGGCCAGACAGACTGTGAAAATTACTGGCCATGCTGTGTGTGTAATTATTTTCTCGGGCCACATCTCACTCTAGGAGTCTTTCCCACTGAAGTCGCTTGCTGACAGTCACACCTTGCAATTGTTATGTCATCAAGTGTTGTAAAAACAAAGTCTGCTTTAACATGACACTTACGGCATGATACATACTTGAAAATGTTTTAGGCGACAACAAAAATGCCTGTATGGCTGTGTAATTTGGCATTTGACTCTTGGTTGGCATGCTTTTCTTACTCTCTGATTGGTTCTGACGCATTCTTGAACTGATGTTTAAAAACATTTAAAAATTGTAAAATTAACATGAAGTCCAAATCAAACTAATTTTCTCAAAAAATATCATTCTAGTCTTACTGGTCATGATCAACGGTGCACATTATTTCAAAACAGTTATTTTAATACTATTTATGTATTGTATTTTTTATCAATATTTTGAATTCGATTTTATTATGCATTCAGTTTTTATTTTAATTTAAGTTTTAGTAATTGTTTTATGCGCTTTTGTTGTTTTTATTTGTTTATTATTATTATTATTATTATTATTATTATTATATAACTTTCATTTATTTTTATTTTTATTTTGGCAATATTGGCAATATTTCCAATTTTAATTTAAGATTTTTAAGTTTAAGCTTTTTATTGGTAGCACTTTAAAGGTCTCATGAGTTAATGTTAGTAAACTGAAAAAAAAATGCTTTAAAAGTGAATTTCACTGTTCATGTTAACTAATACACTAATTAACTAATTAACACTAATTAACAAATCAAACCTTATTGTAAATGTTACCGCATATACACAGTGTAGTGTGTGTGTGTGTGTGTGTGTGTGTGTGTGTGTGTGTGTGTGTATATATATATATATATAGCTGTGCAGAATCATTGTGGGCTCTGTGTTGGGAGAGAATATTCTCTGTGCAACTCAATAGCACCTTGTCTTTGATAAACTTACTGGCCTGGAATGCCTCTGAAAATGCCTTTTAAAAATAGTAACCCAGCTCAATAACTGTCAGTTTGATTTAAGAGGCTCACTTGAGGAGTTTGCTTCTTTGTTACTTGTATTTCGTTGTACTTGAGGTTTATCCGATGTTTAGTCTACTGCTGTAGACATCTGATCAGAATCCCATATTCCAGAAAATGATTTCCTCACCCTTCATTTGGAGAATCCTCCAGTCTCCTCTGCTCAGTCTCCCTCTTTTCTTTCCACCGTTGCACCCTTTTATTTTCTGTCTTCGCACAGCTTATCACATGTTTTGAGTCTCTGTGAGGCTACAGTTATCTAAAGGTCTTGTTTTTCCCTGGAGCTGAAGTCTGATGTTAGCCTCTGTGCTGGAGATCTGACCTCTCAAACACAGCCACGCTGTTCACCCGACTCCTTCTGTCTGTTTGGACAGCTCTCACTCCCCTCGCAGCTGGAGAACGGGGGCTCATAGCAGCAGCGTGAGACAGTATGGGAGGATTTGACACTGCTCCTGCCTTTGACATATGAGGTCTCGTAAATC